GGGTTTTTTTAGCGGATTAGGGTTTTCCACCAATTCGAGATTTTAGTGGCCAATTTTTCATCGATTTAGTCAACTCTTTATTGTAGTCCATATATGACTATATACTTAATCTACGATAATTCTATGATTTTTTTTGTGTGGTGTAAATTTAATGGTCAACATAAGTTTATACAGGAAAGAACATCTTTATATTCATAAATTGATAAAAACAATGAAAGTTAATAATGTAGTACCCTCATTTCTTATTGGATTCATAAAAAACAACATTGATAATGAATTTTAATAATTTTTTTGAATTTTTTTAAGGCTTAATCAGAGAGATTCGGCCCGATTCCCGATCCAAATCACCGATTCGCAGATCCGGATCGATTTTTGGGATGCCCAATCCGGGTCACCGATCAATTTTTTAAACCACTGGTCAAGATTATTATGACCACCTTGTATCAAAGGTAAATGACCTCATTCTATACTTTTTCTTTATATATAGAGTGTTTATCCCCAAAAGCTATTACCAACCCTCTAGATTGGTCCTTTAGGGCCCGTTTGGCTCCTTGGATTCAAATTTTTAGGAGTCATTTTTTTTAGAATAGTTGGGTCAATCGTGTTTAGTTCACTTAGAATTGACATTTTTATTGGAATTGAGATTTATGTGGTATTCTTGAATGTTCATTTTACGCCTAAATTTTAGAAATCCCAATTCCACCAAAATAGGTGGAGTTGACATTTCATGGAATTGATGTTGCTCAACAAAAAATATATAAAAATTTTAGAGAGAGAAACTATATCAAATTTTAGAGAGAAAACATATTAAAATTTTAGAGAGGAAAATTACATCAAATTTTAGAGAGAGAAAGCATATGAAATTTTTAGAGAGAGAAAATATACATTTTTTTAGAAAATTTTAGAGAGAGAAACTATCTTAAATTTAAAATTTCAGAAGGAAAAAACTATCTCAAATCTTAAGTTTTAGAAAGAGATAGTATCTAAAATTTTAGAGAGATAAACTACATTAAATTCTAGAGAGGAACTCTTTAAAAAAATTTTGAGAGAAGTACCTCAAAACATTTAGAGAGAGAAATTATCTCAAATTTTAAGTTTTAAAAAGAAAGCACATTAAAATTTTAGAGATTAGAAATTATATCAAATTTTAGATAGAGAAACTACTTGAAAATTTTCAGAGTGAAAAACTATCTCAAATTTTAAATTTTAGAGAGAGAAAATACCTTAAAACTTTAGATAGATAAACTATATCAAATTTTTGATAAAACACCTAAAATTTTTGGAGAGAAACTATTTAAACAATTTAAGATAGAAAAACTATCTCAAATTTTAAGTTTTAGAGAAAGACAATATGTTAAAATTCTAGAGAGAGAAACAACTTGAAAATTTTAGAAAGAGAAACTAGTTCAAAATTTTAGAGTGAAACTATTTCAAAATTTTAGAGAGAGAAACTATCTCAAAATTTAAGTTTTAGAGAAAAAAAACATGTTAAAATTTTAAAGAGAGTAACTATATCAAATTTTAGAGTGAGAAAGTACCTAAAAATTTTTATAGAGAGAAACTATCTTAAAATTTTTAAAAAGAAAGTACCTCAAATTTTATGTTTTAGATAGAGAAAGTACCTTAAAGTATTAGCAAGAGAAACTTCTTGAAATTGTTTAATGAGAGAAACCATTTCAAAATTTTTATAGCGAGAAGCTATCTCAAAATTTAAGTTTTAAGGAGATAAAGTATCTCAAAATTTTAGTTAGAGAAACTATATCAAATTTTAGAGAGATAAATATATAAATTTTTAAAGAGAGAAACTATCTAGGGAGACTATTTCAAATTTTTAAGTTTTTGACCGAGTGTATTAAAATATTAGAGAAACTATCTCGAAAGTTTTTTAGAGATTGAAAAAGGATTTGCATTTCAAAAAAAATGATATTCCAAGCTATCCAAACAGAAAATTTTCATTTTCTTAATTTCTACTAGATGCGATCCAAAAAGCATAGACCAGATTCCAAGAAATGTCAATTCCAATAAATCTCAACTTCATAATTGACTTTTCCAATGATTGAAAAATCCAGCGATCCAATCGAGCCCTTATGGAATTATCCTATCTAAATGTTTCTAAACACTTGGGTGTATTTTTTTTTTTGTACTCATCATGTTGGTGTTTTATTTCAAGCCATCCTCCACTCTTTGAAGTATCCGTCCCTCTTCTGTCATTTCCTAGTTCCCTTAGTTGTTTACGAGCCTTTAAGAAATAACATAAATTCATTGCTGGCCCAAAACATCAAGATTACAAAGTTTCCATTTGCTTCCAGTCCCCCATCCAAAAAAAAAAAAGAGGTTATTTTACTGCTCAAGATGAAAATTATGGAGCAGTACAAGCAGCATGAACAACAAAACTAGGTGGTTCTGGAGGCTAGTTAGAGGGCCACAGCTACCATTTGGTAGCATTGGATAAACATCAGGAAGTGGCATTATACAATCCTCACCATTGAAATACACCCTTCGAGGGAAGGCCCACCCATTCCTGAGACTGAAAGACTTCCTATCCTTGTGCAAGAGAATCTCAGATGTCACTGATCCAAACCCCGTGTTATCAGCCTGTAAAAGTTCGCCATTGACATATTCGAGCCCCCAAAATAGGGCTGCCTCATCTGAAAACAAGAAATGTGAAACACTTGTATGAGCATTGACTAAAAAAATGTCTGTTTCTGGTGGGGGGCGAGAGAAGAGAGAGGTAGTACAATATGGTGCAGGATCAATGGTTTTGTGTGTACATGAGTGATAGAGAGAGGTCACAATACACGTTTTACGAACAATGGCTGTGCGCATGAGAGTACTAGCAAGGCAAGTTGCAGAACAACGGTAGAGAGAGAGAGAGATACTTGGACTCGTGGTTGTATCAAGGGTGGTAGAGTTGAAGCTGAAAGCAGTGGTCGCCTGACTGAACCCTGGATGCTGAACCATGATGTTCCATTTAGAATAATTAGCCGCATAGTTGTAATTAGTCACTGTTAATTTCACCCTCCAATGGTACATGTAATTGTTCTTCACGTGCCAGTGGACTCGAACAGGGCACATGTGACTGGTGCACCTCACAAGGCCTTCTTCCACTTCACCCACAGGAAGTGAAGAACCACGAAATTTGGTGTCTCTGCATTAACAGAAGCATTTTTCAGAGCTCATTCAAATAACTACATATTTTCACAAAGAACCTTGTGAAGAGAATTAAAATCTGCTTGCAAGTTTCAAAGAAAAATCACCTGATCTCAGGTAAAATGGTGATATTTGAAAAGTGCAGTGTATTGCACATTGTGAAAAGTTCGGGATGCCAATTTTTTTTTTTTTTCTGTAAGTTCCATAATGCAATTCATGTGTACTATGTATCACTTTTTGTGAACTTGGCATATAAAGATAAATCACATTCCTGGAAGCTTCTTGGTTGGATAATTCCTTTATAGATATCCAAACTTATGGGCGCTACTTGGAAATTATTAGAGAAATAAAAAGCCAAAGGATGGAAAAAGAGGAAAACATCTAAAACAAATTGTAAGATTCCCAGAAAAATTATCCATTTGCCTATATTTTTGGAATTTAAGTTTCCATAGAATTTATTATTGCTTCTCTAGAGATTTCTATCCTTGTTTTTCCTGGTAAACTTCATCTTTACACTCGGAAGAAGGGCGGTTAATATCAAGGAAATATATATTTTTTTAAAGCAAAATATTTGTGATTTGTCACTATGGTTGGTAGGGTACAGACCCGATACACGAGAGAGAGGTTCTTTCCTGGGCTTGGCAACCACAGCTACAACGGGGGCATGGCGTGACATTGGAATCATAGAAAGATGATAACGAGACACAACAAGTGGGTGCCTTGTTTGCAATAAACTGAGAATAGGTACAAGTTGATTTCCATGTCCCTGTACATACAAAGCATCCATTACTTTTGCAAAGTGCACATTTGTGAATGGCGCATGTGTGCACGCACATACAAACATACACTGTTGACAAACATAACTGATGGGAAGAAAAGGGTAGGCTGATTGATTTTTATAGATTATAGAGAATAATATTATCAATTCAGATGCACAAGTGGAATTCCACTATTGCCAGTCCCATACCCAGATGAGAAAGGAGGAGGAGGGTTGTGTTAGGTTGGCCCCTAGCAGAAAACGTTTTCTACATCCCTATCATAAGTCCTGATCCAACAAGGTATGACCCTTTACAGAACGGAATGGCGGAACAGGATTCATTAAGCAGATCCCAAAATAATTGGGATAAGGCTCCGAAGATGAGATTGATGAACAAATGGGAAGTCCAGTTCTGAAGTGCATATAGAAAGGTCGATATTATTTAGTTGTGAGAAAGAAAGGATATTTTTGGTGTAACTTAACTGGGTTAATAATGAAAACCATCTCATAAACTCATACAGTTAAGATGATGTTGGGCGTGTCTGGGCAGCAGTTTTAACAAAGCTTATCTTTCTCCAAAGAGCAGAGGGCCCAAACACCTACTTTTCAAAGCATTCTTACAAGGGGGTCACAGTGAGTTCTAGAAGATGTTTGGCATGTAGAAGCAAACTTCCCCAAGACTAGACTGTTTCCTAAGAACAGGCAGCCTCATACTCTTTCAAGTAAATAGGAGAATTCTGAAGTAAAAACCAACATGTAATCATGTCCTCCAAAGGCTCAAATTCGAATGACATATGACTTCAGAATCACACTAGAAGTAGATTTTCATAGCGTGCTTCCAAATAACAAACTAATATATAAGAAAAACAATGAAAAGGGGAGGCTACTGGGTTCTTACTAATTGCTTGAGTTTCTCTCCGACCGCCAACAGAAGGGAAAATAGTGGGTGAATAATCAGCAAAAGGACTACATGTGTAGCCTGGTCCAGGAGCCATGAACGTCACATTCTTTGGTGTCTTCCCTGTCCAAAGGCTAGGCAAGTTCCCCACGGTCATATAAAAGATGGAAATTGCATTTTTGGGGTCGATGTCACGAGCAGCCAAAACTCCATTTCTGCAACAATTTTCTGATCTGTTAATGCGAGCTGCATCAGGCATGAGGTCTATGATCTCAGGGCTTCTTTGGCAACAATGGGGGACCCTATACTTGAAGGCTGAGCAATTGCCCGACTGTGTAGCTAGGGCACCGGTCATTGACCATATTACCTCGTTCTCAGCCCAATCAAACCCTAATTTCCATCCAGGTTTCTCCACGTGGCGGTACTGGTAATAGTTCTCGATGGTCACCTTTGCCTACATCATAATATTGAATATGAGAACCATAGTTTCATGGGGAATTATAACACACACATTAGGTGAATGGTATATCATACACAGGTGGGCGCATCCTCAGTTCATTTCAGAGATGGAACTGGAGATTGACAATAGTTCCAGTTGCATGTCCATCCCCGGGAACTCTACGCAATCAAACCAGATGGTAGGTGACCCAGGCTCCATATCACATACCACACAAAAGCTGTCTATTGTCTGCAGTCCTTTTTTTTAGTTTATGTAATAACTTAATTCAGTAAATCTAGTGGGATTTCATACTTGAGTCAGTTATTTTAATTTTAACATAACCATACTTCAAAGAAAATGCAGATGCACATGATGACATTCATTTTTTATTTAGTTAATGTTAAAAAAAAGAAATATGCATCCATTTTCAAGAAGTTTTAGAAGAAAGTCATCTCCCTAAATTTGGATTTCAGACGATTGATTTCTTCATATCTCAATTAAACTTAAACTGCAAATTTTATCTCAGAAGAAAATACTAACCCAATAACCATCGGTTTCAGTGGTCCATGAAATGATATCATACGTAATTGTTATATTCCCATTCGGATCCAAAGGGTCGTAACAGTCTGCACCCAGAAACAAATATCAAAACAAATTTGTTTTGACAAGTAACATGTACATATTTAAATAAAAACTAAAGATCATCCATCCTCATACAGGTGAAAGGCAAAAAAAAAACAAACACTTAGACAAGAGGGGGAAAAGTAAGTAAATCTGGCCTGCAATATAACAAGATTCAAGTAACAGTAGCAGCAGCAATTCTTGGAAAAAGAGTATCTGAAGGTAGGGACGGCTCATTGTCTCAGACATGCACTGTGGTCAGGCTCTCCTCCTTATCCCAGACTTTATAAAAAGAATTTCCTAAAAGAAATGGGAGAAAACAAAGGATGATAAAAGAGGATTATAACCTGGATCGAAACTTAAAAGAGTCTCTCACAGAAGATGAACCAAGAACTTACATTAAGCAAGATTTTGGAGAAAGTGAGGGAAACCACTTCTATAAAAATCAGTCCATGTCAAATTCAGTTAAGACAAAATAGAAGCATTGGAAATGTCAACTGGATTAGAATGTAGAGAAATTCAAGGCCAATCCAAGTACTAAGACAATTTCCAGAATATTCAGCGGCATTTTTGGACAGTTCTTTGGATGGTCAGAAGCATGCCACAACATATGC